GAATGTAATGTGACTATTTCATTAAATTGTATTCTGTACTTGCTAACCTGCCTTATACTACTAAGTTTTGAACTTACTAAGGTTTTGGCCGTGTAAATTACCTTCTTCATAATTTTGCTTTATTTCTAAAAGCCCCAGAAAAGTGGTATTATGCAATAGAGCCTCATATGATTAGAGACTAAAATCAACTTTCTCTAAGCACAATTATCTCTCAATGGTCAGAATAACATTAAAGGTAATATTTTTTTTTAACCTGTAAGTGATAATTAAAGTTGTTTGCATCTGAAAGATGTATTTCATCAGTAATAACAGAATTCCTGAATTACCACTAGGGAAAATGTAATATTAATTTTTCTGTTATCATCTGTGTGTGTGGTTTTTTTTAAGGTGACATTCATAATGGGAATTCTGCAAAAAGTGTCAAAGTCCAATGAATGTGAAACCCCACTTTTTGTGCATCTCTTGTTATTAGTGATACATTTTTTGACAAAAGGCATTTTTAACTTAGTTTTAATAGTTTATCAATTATATTTTCACAATTATTTGAATTCCTTTGAATATCAATTCCTATTTGAATTCCTTCTTTGAAATTTAGATCAAAAGGGAAGTAAATTTCATAATTCTCAAAAGAAATGTTAACATAAATTACATTCTGGAATTATCAGATAGAAATTTGTTTCATATTTAACCTTCTGACAAATTATAATGGATATTTAGTGATGTGCATTCATCATTTTAAGGAAATGATGATCTAGTCAAGAAGTGGATATTAGTAATCTGACAAGTAGAAAGATGAATTGTATAGACAAGGTTGTGCTTTTGCTAGACAAGGACTTATATATTGATATTATTTTTGATTTCTTATTATTTTTAGCTCCATCATTCCTCAAGCTGTGATCTGTAACCCAATGTGAGTCGTAAGCAAAAAAACAGTTTTAAAGAATTATTTAAATAATATGCTGTAGTCTTCTAATTTAAAAGAATGAGCAAACTCTTTTGAAACAAGATGATGTGCTTCTTCTTGCCATTCCCAATAGATTCAGGGCTGAGTAGTTAGGGAAATCCTGCTTTAATACATTCCAACAGTAATTTAAATGTATTGTAGAACATATGTATGTATGTAGAATTTAATTTATGAAATGATTTGTATGATCATTTTTGGGCTGAATGTGTTCCACTATGTTGATATTAGTTATGTAAGTTCGTACCTGTATGTTTTGTAATGATGGGTAATTATTGTTTGTGTGAAGGAAGTTAAATGAAACTATGGATTTTGGAAGTGGTGTACATATTTTGAATAATTGGGAGTTTTGTTCAGTCAATCTACAGACAAATGATTTTAGTTGATTATTATGTATGTACAAAGTAAGGTAAGGAGAGTTAATGAAAATGGTAAATTTCAAATCCAACAAAAATCAAAAATATTGTTTTATAACATCACCATCAACAAAACTTTGAAGAAATGTCGCCAATTGACCAATAGTTACCTAATGATGAATTTTAAATTCAAAGTTTCTGGTATTGAGAAGCAATAAGCATTGTTATCAATATAACTTGTACCAACTCATATAATACTCACATAAATAAATATGTGGGAGCATAAGAGGAAATATTTTAGTGTGTTTCAAAACTGCAACAATTTTTTATTTGATTTATTTCCGATTCAACTACTTCCTGAAATGGTACAAATCAAGATTATAAATTTTTCTAGGCATATCCAGAGACAGAGTTCTTTGATGTGGAACATATAAATTGCATACCAATTACAAAGTTCCAGGATGAAAGTTTAAGAAAAATTATTTTATATACTATACTAGAAATGTCAACAATTTCATTGAGATCTCTATTTCAATGAGATTGGCCAGTAATATTTTGTAACTTATGCACTGCTTTATTTCTATTAGCTTCAAGCAAATGCTTCTTCATGAGAAGATACACCATAAAGCATGTAAAAGTACTTGCATAACTTCCATTTTATTTACTTTGTTTCTTTAAAGTTTATTTTCAAACAAACTTGTATGGTGTTGAAATATGACAATACTTAAATAATTTTTAAAATTATGACATTATAATACCTCAATAATATCACTAAAAATAGGCTCCTTTGACTGGTTGTATGAGTTCAAAGAAATTCTCCAGAATGCGTTTTCATTGCTCCAGTCTTTTTTTTAAAGATCTACGAGCCTATAAATGTAGTAAAATATTTTTTTATGGAATTAGTAATAGTGTTGTGAAGGTACACCAAAGAAATTTGTTGGAAGAGGTTATAATAGGTAGAGAGAAACAAAGATGAAAGCTGTACAATAAGAACAGTAACCTGTGAACAGTGCAGTCTGTCTTGTGACCTGTTTTTCTAATGTAAAGAAGAATTGGTATTTTTCTGAAGTTTAGTGGAAGAGACTTAATAATTTATGCCATAATGTTTTTCTGAGCATGAATGCTGTCATATCTTTTGCATTTAGCTCAAATAGTTGGTTCAGTCAACTATATATGCCAAATGTTGATAAGTTTCTATGTAGCTATTATCAAATGTTTAAATTAGGCATATACTGGAATGATCTAGTTTGAAGAATTTTGCCACTGATTTAATGAACTTTCTTTTCCAAATAAGTGAAGCAAATAAGGAATTATTTTCATCATCAGATTGTTGAGGAATAATTCTTTTAACCATATATTAATTTTTGTGATGAATTTAAAAATTCATTCCAGCAATGCCTTTTTCATAAAAAATGTAAATGTATCAATGAACAATTGTATCCATTAATAATAATGATTATTGACCTCTTACATTGTTAGTGCGAGGCAAGACTGTGCCAATGTAGTATTAAGCAACCAAGATGTTTGCCTGCGCAAATTAAAAATGTTCGAACTTTTTGTAATAAGCCTGAAGTTATGAAATAAATATTGAATGTAATAAAAAATGCTTATCATTTGTCTTTCAAAGAAATCTTAATTATATTGTAATTTGATGGGACTATTCCTGTGGGAGGTGATTGCACAGGAGTAGAGGAGCCCCTAATAATAGTAATAATCATCATCATGATTAAAGATATATATGGTCACTCTTGTATACATACTTTTTTAATTGTCATGATTTCACTTAGATATGCAAAAACTACATTTTGAAACTTTTGAAAAATATGTACATGATATTATTTAAAGATATAATTTTGAAGAAAAAAGTTCATTGATAAAAAAGCTCTTTCAATAAAATAGTTGTAGGAGGGGCTCAAAAAAGTTTTCATCTTTTGCAATTTTCAAAATGTCAGAGGTTTTAATGAAAATCATACCTGCATCATTTTTATAAATATATTATTATCCTATTCAAGAAAACAATTGGAGCCATTTTTTAAAAAAAAATTGAAATTGTTTACTTCGTATAAAGTAGCCCCAAATATTAAAAGATGAATTTCAAATTCAAAGTATCATCAGCCAAATTGATTCAGGCAGAATCTAAAAATTTAATACATGGCTTAGGTGTTAGTGTTTACATAGACAAATGTTTTGCAAATAAACAACCACTTTGTTGGTATCTGGAACCCCTACTTCTGTCAAAATCATGACATTTATTTGATGATCAAAGAAATTAATTTTCAGTATCTACCCAATAATTATGTACCATAATTCAATATGTATATCAATCTCATAGAAAGCAAACTGGAGGGAATAAATTTACTAGACTTCGCTGGTATTTATTAATACTTACCAGACTCACTACATGAACCATCACTCATTATATTTTGTGTGTTTCATTAGTATGACTCATTGCTTATATGTAGACCAACCTACCACATAAGTTGTTGTTTTCAATTGTTGTCTCACACTCAGTGTCAAATCAGTTCATTGGCCCATCCAATACCTCCCCAGATGTGGCCTGATTGAAAATTTTCTAATGGTACCACTATGGGTTCCCAATATACATAATTGCTGCCTGGGGCTCATAGCCCTGAAAACAATCTTATAAATTGTTTCACTTGCTCTCACCTGAACAAAATGTATTTCACAAATACATAGCCAGTACAATAATGTAACCTGCTTGTGAATTATAAAACTATTGATGATTGTAAAATAAAAATCATTTATTTAGTCTTAACAACTCCACAGAAAATACGAAAATATAAAAAATACCTACTTTTAACCTTATTACTCAGTTAAAATGTATAAAGTATTACTCCAAATTCCATATTCCTTCTTTAACAAAGAGAGGGAATCTTCCACAAATTTATTGTGCCACAAACATACTTTCTGATCATTGGAGACGGTGACCAATAAAATATCCATGTATATATGGAAGAAAAACTGAATGTAGAGTTTTGATTTGATTTATTTAGTCCAAAAATTAATAAAAACTATAGTTGACATTGGGGGGAGAAGTTCATCTGTGCACATTTTCTTGAGTTCCAGAATCCCTTCTCAACATATTAACTATAAATAGATGAAAGATGAATGAAAGTTTAAAAATAAAACGAAATAATAATAATAATAATAATAATAATAATAATAATAATAATAATAATAATAATAATAATAATTATAATAATAATTATAATAATAATAATAATAATAATAATAATAATAATAATAATAATAATATTAATAATAATAATAATAATAATTTTTAAATGCATGTGATTAGCAATATTTGAAAAAATAGACATTTTCATTCCCGAGTCATAGAAAACTTTGCATTGGTAAGCAAATTGCAGATTTGACTTTTCTACATTGCTAACAAAATACATAACTCACTCCCAGCTCTACACCTACCACTATGAACAAAAGGAGAGCTAAATAGAGATGAATAGATCCTTACCCCAATGTTGAAGTGCTATTTAAATATTTTAACAATTTATTTCTTTTAAGATAATTAGCAATTGATTTTTTTCTAGAATTGAATACTCAAGATTGAACTGACAGTAGATTAAGATATTAAGAGTAAACATAAAACACTAGTAGTCTGCAGCTGTAGTATATACAGATACACAGAACAGTTCTTTACATACCAAATATATCAAAAAAGTTGCTGTTCCATAATCCAAAATGTGAATAGTGGATGGCCTCTCCCTTGGAGCCTTGCTGTTTCATGACTTTTGCTGTGTTGTAAGCTCTGTAGATGAGAATTCAGTTGGTATGTGTTGTTCAAGAATAGATAGTATAATACAATGAAATGTTTGCATTTTTCAGTCAAAATAAAAACTGTTTCATTGTTTTAGGATTTTTTCTCAGTTGTGGGTATCCTGCAAAATGATAGAGATTTTTTACATGGACAGAGGCAGCATGGTTTTCTTGTAGTTTCCTTGCTACAATATATTATACAAAATATTATTTGCTAGAGAATGATGGTCAATACATAGTAATTTTTGGGCTGTTCAAATTACCACATCCAGTAGATCTGACAATTGGATGAGTGAACAATCAATTAAATATCTTTAAAAATTCATTTCAACACTATTTATTATTCAAAACATTATTTTGAATTATGAGCTTGTGAAATATACTTTGAAAATACTATAATTTTAAAATAATTTATCATTTTCATTATTGTGTGTTTCAGGTATCAATACTGCTACTTTATATCAAGACAGAAACTTTCCAACTGCAAGTTCTAAAGAATTTCAAGGAGGGGATTTTAAATATGTGTGTCATCTATGTGGAAGTTGTTTTGGACATCCTGGATCACTGAAACAACACCAAATAGTTCACCAAGTGTCAATGACATGTCCACTGTGCCCCACCCCAACATCCTTTTCCCGAAAATTCACATTATTGAGGCATTTGCAAACAGTTCACCAGAAAAGTGTGGAGGAATCTCATGATTTGTGGATGAAAATAATGAATAATGCACTTATTAACAAAATAATCAGTTAATTGTGTTTAAACACCTTTAAAAATAAATCTCTGATAATGAAAAATGTCATGAAGTAAAGCCCTGACCCTGGTTTTCATTTTCCAGTAATTGAGGGCTTCTGGGTTTGCAGTGGCCGAATTAATGTCAAGGCTTCTTACATTGAAGCTTATTGGGGTAGAACATTAGCTTCTGTTGAGGAGGTTCCCTTTGCTCCAAAAACTTTCAAGACATCCTTGGTGGTACTGGCTCAGAAAATATTCATCTTGGCTGTTCTTATTGATGAGAGTAGATACTTTCATCTCAAAGCAACCAAGTTCATTATGATTTTTTCCCCCTGAAATTGCAATATATTTACCTCAATTTATTGTAAACATATATGTCTAAGTATAAATGAAATGGTGTATTTAAAATCTGTCGTGAATGTTTTTGTGAGATATTACATCATCAAACTGATGGACAAATGAAAAATATTGTAATTATTTTCTTTTCAAAGAGGGCAGAAAATGCATTTCTTCTCCAAATCTTATCCACAATTGAAAAATAATTATCAAATAAATATTTTAGACCGAGATGTACATTATTTATCTCATATTTCATGTCATTAATGAAGTTGTATTAATTTCAGATCGTTATCAATGTTATCATTGTTTCACATCTATTTAAATACAGTTAAATTTTGTGTCAACTAATTGTGAATTGAAATAAACAAATGAACATCCTACATCTTTAAAGTATAAAGAATGTTTCTTAATTTAGTTGTGGTTTTTACAAATCTACAGTTTTATTCGGACCTTGATTAAATTATGCACACTTGACATTCAAATCAAGAAGCAACTTAGTATTTACATGATATTTTCACCATTCTTATCTTGTGTTCTAATTTCATAGAACAGAATTTAAGCTAGTCTTTTGGTTTTTGGGAGGTTTTGATTACAGTGAGGCAAAAATGTTTTAGAAATTTGAGAATACCTATAAAATGTCTTAACTAATGCATTTCAATTCAGTCTTGTAGCACAATTAATAATATTTTTGAATATTTTTTAATAATTAATAATAATGTTAACAATAATAATTAATTTTGACAATTATTAATGATTTTCAATAATTCAAGGCCAAAGTTGAAAATTACTTCCATTGTGCTGGGATAGAAGAGTGGGGACAGTCAGTGAGAAAGGGTAGGAGTAGAGCAAGGAATAAGATATAGTGGTATAAAGGGCTGGAGGACAGGCATGTAAATAAATAACTTTCACTTTACACTGTAGATAAATACATTCCTTTTCTTTTCTAGTAGTTGGTTAAGGTAAATAAAACTCATCAAATAATATTTTTATTAAAAATTAATTATTATAAATTATTGTGGTGTTATTGTAGTTGGTACTGGCAGGGGTAGATCCAGACGATTATTTCGGGGGGCCATTGTAGATTTTTGTTAAATAATGTATTTGTTATTTTAAACATATATGTTATTATTATTAATGTGCTGCAGATATGATTCTATACAATATTTTTGTTTAAATAATTACATTATTAGAACATAAATATTTAAATCAATTGTGCCAAATAAAGAAAGGTAAATGAAAACTCTAGGCCCGGGGGGGTGGGGATGCCCTCATGTCTTCCTCCCCACCCCCACCCCTGGTCCACCAGTGGGTACCCGTAGGTACTTTACATTTTCATGTCCTAATATTCGTATTTTAACTGTGCCCTTCTATTAATTACTAGGAACTTTATAATTATTTGAAAATTTAAATCTGTCACAACCAGATATATATTAGGAGATAAAGTAAATTTACATGTTAAATTGAAACTGTCCTTGTATTACATTTTTATTCAGTTGTTATCTAAAGAAAATTATTGTATTGTAGCCTACCTATGTATGAAGAAGTGAAATGTTTCATACTGATGTATGAAGAAGTACTTTTATCACAGTATTTTATATCATAAAATTCATTCCATGCATTTTATTTTTGGTATTATGCAATTATCTTTTTACTTCCTTGAATATTTTTATATGATTGGAGATTATTTAGAAGAAGTAGAGGAGGTAGGTATCTTTCAAACAGAAAAGAAGGAAAAAGAAGGATGCTGGAAATTAGTTATCGTAAGAAGAATTCACATGATAAATTGACAAAATTGTTATTCATTAACTATCAAAATCTATCTAACTGGCAGGTAATATGGGTATAGTGGGTAGCTATTATCCAATTATTATATTACTCCAACTTGGTAAAATATCTATTCAGGATTTGGAGTGACAGAGATATTTCAAAAATATCAAATTCCAAAAATGTCAAATTATGTAAATGTTAACTTCACTTATTGTACTTGATTGTTTTTTGGGGGGGAGGGAAGGAATTCTGTATAATTGCAATTTATTTCCACACAAATATTAGGCAAATGTTTTAATAATAATATTTCCATGAGTGGATATGTTACTCAACAGTAGCATTTCTATTTCAACAAATCGATATGTTATATCTAATGGTTTGTGATGCTGTAGAATTCTTATGTCTTCACTATTGTCTAGTAGATTGACAGTGAGTTGATTTGGATGATTTTCCAGTCTTGTGTAGCATTTCTGACTCGAGGTCGTTATTTCTTCTTTGATAGTCTTGATTATTGTGGAATATTTCATTGCTGACATATCTGTATACTTCTATTATTGATCAAAGATATTTGGATTGAAATAGCTGAAAAATGTCGATGTTGGAGATGCTGACTGTGCTCCAAGTTGAATACCTTAAGTCCATATGAGTCGAAGGATATTTTTATGAATAAGTATTGTTTACGCCCGCGGGTTGCATTTGGACCGCCCGCGCAGCGCATCACCGCGCTGCACTAGCACACCCCCTCCCCGACCATGCGGGGTGGTTATGTCAAAGGGGCCTTTCACCCTGCGTGTGGCCGCCGCTGCGGGCACCTCGCCTTGCTGCCCAGTGCCGCCACCAGATATATACAAGTCCACGTCCAATATGGCTACCCATGTCCTCTTTGTAAATGTATACAGTAACTATTGTACTTCCGCTTGAGTCACTATTTCATATTACATTAAACAATGATACCATTGGGATATCTGGGTATGTCCCAATTTTGAAAATATCAACATCAGTGCCACATCCTTTTTCGACTAGATTACTAAACTACATTACGTCGCTGTTATCGTAAAGGTATCCTATGATTACATTCAAAGACATAGATTTCCTTGGTTATAAAACTCGTTTGATTTTTTATATGTTGCATCATTGTGGCCGATACATAAAGAATTTAGTCCAACTGATTTTGCATACTACAATTTCTACAGATATTTTTTTTAAATTAAAAATCCACTTTTTCTAAATCAAACAAAATGGACGGCAAACACAAATTAAAAAAAACATCTTGAAGCAATCCAATTGTATTATTGCACATTATCATTTACGTAGTTCGTAAATGATACGCCGTGATTTATTTATTCCAGTCTTCAAGTCTATACAAATATAACACGCATTTATTTTATATCAATATAACGTACCGTAAACCGGGACATGTCACGATTCGTAATATCGGATTTCGATGTTTGTTACCGCATTGGGTTCAGGAAGCATCTCGCCAGCGCGCTATTTACCACAAGAACACAAGTCCAACAATATATCAATAACCCTAAATTCCGTAACTTTATCCTACCCCACCATCGTATTCAAAAAAATCTCCCTCGGCACAGACGAGAAAAATTAAAAAAAAACTGGATATCCTTCAACTCTCTCCTCCCATAGCTTAGGGCAGCCTAGACAAGATTAACATAAAACCACAGACAAATCACTTTAAATGACTAACAGGCTTATAGGTCGAAACCTTTGCAATAGCACAAGTTCTCTGTTCCTTATATTCCCCCCTTCACATTCCCTTCCAACGTCCTTCCTTCCCTCTTCCCCATCGTCCAAAAACCCTAATAAAACATCCCATCTTTCCCCAAGAAAAGAACCTTTCCACTTAACACTCAGACTCCCAATCCCCGTCCCTGTACGGAGGAGAGGAGTTGACAACCGAAGAAGAACCCGAGAAGACACCACTGTTTGAAGACATCCCTAACTGGTCCAGGCAAACTAACAACGTCGTGATTTGGTACAGAACCGCACACACTTTCTCATTCTAGTTAGTTTCCTAAACTCTTTAGACTAGATTAGTTTTCTGCACCCTCCACTTCCAGTCTACCTAGCAGATATGGACGCATAATAATAGTTCATGCCATTGAGGCATCCAGTAAGAGTGGGAGCTAAACCACAAAATTCAAAATATTGATTTACGAAAGTATTCGATTACAAACTCTTGGAATAAGTCAATAAATCGATGTTTTGAATTTGTGGGTTAGCTCATTAGTTTATAATGTGAAGCTTCATTGCATGAGTACATGTTTTGAAAACGAGCGGCAATAGGAGCGAGGTTTCAAGTTTGAACGAATGCAATAAAGCAACATTATAAATGAGTTGCATACGCTATTTTTTTAAAATAACAGCATTATAAATGTATAAGAGAATCAAACTTAATATTGCGAAACAACTTTTTTGTGACGTCTCGTGTATTTGACATCTGTGCGAGAAATCGGCGGTCGACTGTTCCGTTTACTGGTATGTTCCCACGATTATCGCGTTGCGATTGCCTAAATGTGTGATGACGCAACCATTCTTGCCGTATGATGCCGTAACACGTCATCATTTGTGCCGTAAAATGCCAGATTATGAACGACTTCTTGCAACAGAGAAGGTCGTTTATAATGCTGGTATATAAAAAAATATTTCACTTTCTCATCGAACATACGGCGTAATACACGCACTGTAGAGAAATTTATTTAATGCTGAAAATGGATTTCGAGATTTATAAGAAAATACGTTTTTGGGTCTCCAGATATGAAAAAGTGTTTGATTTTTCACGCGTCTGGTCTTCTGTCTGTCACCACTAGCGCCTGAACTATTCGTTGGAATTTTGCCAAAGTGAATAATCTCTGGCCAATATGGATTGGTTCAAACTTCTGCGTTTCTGAAAAAAAAATCTTTTAAATTTTGGGGGTAATTTACATTAAGCCACTTTCAAAATTTTCTCAAAAATGGCTCCAAATTTTTCTTTAAATGTATTTTAAAAATACATACTGTGATTTTCGCAACTCTGCCCCGGGCAGGTATCAGTTGTTGACAGTTTCATCAAATCGAGAGCTTGGATGTCAACACTACGGTGACGTTCATGGTCGCGATTGAATAAAACAGTCAAAAGCTAATACCGGCCAGGGGCAGAATTCCATAAATTGCGGTATAGAGAAATTTACTCAGCGCGTTCCTGGTGCGAGAGGTGCATTGAACCAGGGCGAAAAAAATTAGAATACTGTAGCCAGTACACATTAAATATTGTTTAGGGCATACTATTCAATGCTCTTAGCACTGTGTGTAAAAATATTTAAAGAGCCATTCAGTAGAAAATTATTGTGTTTTAAATAATGCTTATATTTCACTCAAAATTCACAAAAACTCAATAAAAAACTCAAAAACAATATTTAAAAACATGTTCATGGCATTAGGTAAGGAATTTATTGCGCAAAACAAATATAAATCAAATAAGAAACTCTAATTTGAATAATAGTTGTAGGAAGGGTTCAAAAAATTTCAAACATCAAGTTTTGAAATTTTAGGGGTAACACTGAAAGTCAAACCCATGCTATCTTTAAAAGCGCATATCACTCAATTCTTGCTAGAAAATTACAGGAAAAAATTTACCATTTTTTAAAAAATTTTGAAATATGTCCTAGGAGCTTTATGTAAAGTACCTCAAAATTTCAAAGAAATCTTTTCAAAATCGCAGGGCTTCGAATCGGGCTAGAGCGATCAAGGAATATTCATTTTGGTGTTAGTCCTAGGAATAATGAAGACGCTAGTCTTGCTCACCGATGAAATCATGGACAAACTGACGGACGTTAAAAAACACCTTTTCGGTAAAAGGGCACTCCAAGAGGTGGATTTCCGTTAAAATATGGAAATAGAATGTCTGCAGTGTTACATAACTTTACTTAAACTACGTATATTTTCCGTATATACGCACGTGTACGAGAAAGTAAAAGATGTTAAGGTAATCCTTTGATGCCAAGAACTTAGTTTAACCAACCTTGAAAATTAGGAGAAAATAAACAGACGTTAAAAAGCGCGGGCATCATGAAAGGCGGCTCGTCTAAAGGATCAACATTACGGCAGTAACAGACATGTTCTTTGAAATTATGGTACTATAAATCTATATTTCATATCTTAATATGTACGTTTTAATGAAATGCCGCATGTAATAGAAGCGTTTTTAATGTGTTTCCCTGCTATTTTCGAATCATCTCCCTGCTTTCCGAATGATAGAGCTATTCGTGATTATAGAAGAGCATGAAGAATGTTGGTAAGCATGAATGTTCCGAGTTTCTAATCGATGAACAGCTGACTGCATTCAAGATGCATGTTTGTTTATCCAGTAACCAAAGCCTTTCGCTATAGGCGTATAGAAGATTATTTGTTGCTCTGTCACAACATCAGTGTGTGGCGAATAATATATCTCCTGTTTGTAGTGTGCAATTTGTTACATTTTTTCCCTAAATAAGTTCAACTCGTAATCGTGATTTCAATGACTTGTGCGATTTGCACCGTTTCGTGTGGATATCATTAGAAAATTCATGATTCTCTCTTTAAACCAGTCTGAGATGTATTAACTACGCCCTACGATTTGATTGGGCTCTATATTATCCCTTCTTGACCAGCTAGTGATCGTAACTGGCATCCTAATGGGAGACAGCCAAGAATTCTGTTTGCGATGGAGCAGTTACCAACAGCAGCTTGGAGAAGCTCTACGCTCGCTTTTGGATAGAGAACTACTAGTAGATGTTACCCTGGCTTGTGAAGGGCGTTCTCTGAGAGCCCACAGGACCATACTATCTGCTTGTTCTGATTACTTCCAGGTGTGATGATGCATTTGTTATAAAAACTGTTTTATATTATTGAATGTCAAAGTAGTGTGGGTTTACTTTTATAAAAGTACATGAAATGAATAATCATAAAAGTAAAATTGGACCATTTTCAATGTTGCAGGAATTGTTTCAAGAAAGCACACATCCACATCCAATTGTCATACTTAAAGATGTGAAGTTTGAGGAATTAGAAGCACTAGTTAGATTTATGTATCATGGGGAGGTTACAATGAATAATGAATCGCTTCCAGGATTCTTGAGAACAGCAGAAACTCTTCACATTAGAGGACTGACAGGTGGATCAATTGCAAGTAAACAATATCCACCACAACCTTTAGGAAAGGTAAAGTAGTTTTGTGTCTCTGGAAGCTCTTGTGTGACTGCACAATAAACTGCAGTAGTCAGATATTCCTTTTTTCCCTCTTTTCTTTTATTTAGTATTTTGAAAATAATTGTAAGGAGAATTGTTGATGACGACAGTTACTAGACAAATTGCTCAAATTGAGATTTAACTCTGTGGTGTGATTTGCATTGAAGAGTTTGGTTTGTGCCACTCCTAATAGAAGTAGGATCATAGTAGGGAATGACCTTAATAAGCAAATGTGAAGATTGGGTGAACAGTGTCTACCAAATGAAGGTAGAATTCTTAATAGAGAGTAATTTTGCTTAAGAGAAATCACTATATTATGATTGAAAGACCCTTTTGGATTATTTTTTTAATTTCAGCTGCAGCAGATTTGCTTTATTACTTCTAGACTATAGGAATGTAAGAACTTTTACAGGAAATGTTGCATGAATTCTGCAGGTGGATGTAGAAGGAGTGCCTGACAGTGCTGTTGCATCTGAAGAGAATCATCCAGTTGAGGAAATGGAAGGCCCAGGTGATGCTGATGGACGAGCAGATGGTGCATCTTCTCCCGAGACAAAGCGCATTAAGCTTGAACAAGTCTCTCCTGTCAGTAAATCGCCTCCAAAACCTGTACAGCAGTTCTCCAATGACCCAAGTGTAAGCAAATTCTTTTCTGCATTAAACATTAATAATAATTTCCAGATGTGAAATAAAGTAGTCTCACAATTATCTGTGGTAACCAGAAATGGAACTAACTAGGATATGAAAAAAAATCATTAATCCTGAGTTCATGATTGTTAAAAAATTACTTTTTTAGTACATTTGTAATGTTGGAATGTAAATTTAAACATAAAATCACTTTTAGTATGTATGTACACACATAGATAATTAGTCACGTATTCAAAAAACTTGAGTTGTAAATGAACACGTTTTAACTTGGAAGAAGAAAATTATTTTCTGAAAAAACCTTTGATGATTTTCTGGGAGAACTACCTGCCACACTAGAAGGTAGTGATGATGGGCCAATGTTGTAGAAACAGTAGATTGAAGTTCTTCATTGGATTATTTTGCTATTTTTTCTGGCATTGCCCCGGTTAACTGGTAATTTAATAATTGCGAGCCTCCCTGTTGTATTAATAATGAAAGTTTTGCAACAAAGTGCATAAGATAATGTATTATTATTGTTAAAATTATTTTCTCATCTCGTGGAAAACTTACATTAAGAAATTGCAAAACAACAAACCTAAACTTGTAGTTGTTCTTAAAATATTGAACACTTCATCTGTTTTCAAACAGATAGGAGAATCTCCAGGAGGCTTCCCTACAGAACCTTCAGCAAACAGAGCTCTATTAAAGACAGATGAAATGCATTCCTCTGCAGATCTTGCATCTCCGAGAGAAATTGTTGCTAACAAAACCGTAAGTTCTTATTGAGCTATTATAAATGTTCATTATGGTGAAGTAAAATATTTCTTGGTCGCAACTGAAACCTGTGATTTTATTTATATTAATGATTTTCTTTTGTTGGAAAGACAAAATGTTGTCCCAAAAATTCCTGGAAATATTATTTTATCCTGTTTTAATTATGTTAAGTCCTATAGAATTTTAGATGAATTTATTATCTATTGACAATTTCCAATATGATTTAGAAATTGTAATTCATAATTAATTATTGTTCAATGTTGCTTATAATGTATGTTTTTCTTGTAATGTATGTAAGATGCAATTATTTTCCAATATATTGGTGTTGGAATTAAGAAGTTTCACCATTCTGCTCATACAAAATAAATTCTCTGAATACTGTCATTCTTAAATATTATAAAATTTTAAGAATGTATGTAAATTATTCACAAATTTATTTTTCCTGTAATAACAATAGAGAGAAACATGTTGAATGCTTATAGAGATGAAGTATGTTCCAATATAACAATGGTTCCAGTTATCGTTCGAGGGGTTGAGTCAACTTGTGCTGCCTGTGCTTCATGATGAATCCAGCTCCTCTGGACAATACTTCATGAATCAAGGTACGAATTCATGGGATTTGTTGTGTGATTGCAAGCTTGGGTGCAAGTTCAGTAGAACCCCACAAATCCGAAATTGCAGATTATCCGAACAAAATTTGAGATGGAGGAAAATATAAATAAAATGTTTATTTGTAGTTTAAAGAAAGAATTATATAATTACTGTAGAATTGAACAATAATTTTTGAAACACACTACTTATTGATACGATGTATCAACCACTACCGCATGCAATCGGTTATGTATGTTCTGTACTCCATTATTCACAACATTGCCATTTCATGTCTCTATGCTGTTGCCATTTTCTCACATCACACACTATATTGCATTGTGCCTGGTAACCCTATAGATGTATTTCTTTATGTAGGGTACATTTTTCAGATAATCCAAATAGACCATACCCCAATTAGTTAGGAATACCGCAATTCTACTGTATGTGTGTGAGGGGGGGTTAGTGCATTCAAAAGAAAAATTCATTCAGAATATTCAATTCAAATATAATAAATTCACAGTTTAAATACAAAATCAACTGTGATAATAGATATCCTTAACATACTTTTTGATACAACATACAGCAAGATAATCCTTTTAACATACTAATAATCCTAATAACATACTTTTTTATTGAGAAATAGATAGTGATAGATCATTCAGCAAAAAACATAGAGTAATTAGATTCTGTTGTTATAATTGCATATGAAGTAAGCTGTCAAGAAGAAACTAACTTCTATTATTTCTTAAAATGAAATTGTTTCAGTGCAGAAATATACATTTAATACTTTTTGTCTCCATTTCGTAAAATGGCAAAATGCACATTTAAGTGATAATGAATAGGACTGATTAAAAGGTTAAATATTTTTAAAAAAGAAATACAATTATCTCCAATCAAGTGACTCCTTCTGGAGAGTGAGAGCAAGCAAAACTTTAAAATTCCAAATATTAGTCTCGACGTTTTATTGTATATTTGGATTCAGTGACTAAAAATATAGGTTAAAGAACAGAATCTGGTACACTCTTAGAGGGTGAAGGATTAGAAGGAACAGGTGGGAGAGGAAGTATGGATGGACAATTTAATTGCAATTAGAATAACAATCAATCACTGAATATAGTTAATTGAAAAATTAAAATTATTTACACACTGATCAATCTATGAATTGTTGTTTTGATTTATTTGAATTGCATATTAATTTTGAAAACAAAATTACGTTATTCACTTAAATATAAAATCTATACGTTTTGTGAGATCTTGATACTAGTGATGGATTGATACCTAAATTTCTCGATACTTGATATCATTACCTGTCAAAGAGCTTTGATACTCAATACCATACTAGTTTAAAGACTCAGCAACAAAAGTGGTTCAATCAGATACAAGCATGCATTTACTATTTTAATATTTAAAAACTATTGAGATGAAAATAAGTTTTTAAAAATTCTTATTAAAGCAAACTAACATTCTAATTCCTTCTGGGTTCATTCTATTTCTTTTTTGTCATATATCAATCCAGCTGTATTGAAAAGTTTTTCCGAAAACACAGGTACCGAACAGCCCTTTTTCTTAAATTGGGGAGAGTATTTTTGTTTTTCCAATGAGATAGTACATTTGCTCCAGGAAGAAGAACAGACTTCGCTTAAATACACATTTAAGTCATCCTCTTGTGCTGGGGCTTCATGTACGCAGCATGATGTTTCATGGTGACTTCAGAATATTCCTATAAAGAGACCACATGTTATGCATTTTCTTTGGTTCAGTAGTTGAGGATGCCTATAAAACAAAATTACAATTTTGAACAATAAAAGCGTGTCTTTAATTTGAAATTTGTAATGTAGATTCTAAAAATGAGTTACTTGGAATTATATACTGTGACTAATTTTTTTTTAATCTATTGAAATATCAGAGAATCAAAATGGTGATTTAAAAAAATAGGGTTATTTAAAATTAAAATTAGAAACTTTTATCTCAACTTCTGATGTCACTGGATCTGCTTCCTTGCTTACAAGATCCAATAATCTCTTTCTGGCAGAGTCGTCACAAAATCATTAAAACTTAAGTAACTCATAAAACTTTGGCGCTGCCTTCCACAAGACATAACTGAAATGGTTAAGTCTTTCCTCACAAACAGCACATGGTGATAAATGTGGGATAAGCAAAATCCTTGAAGTAGAGGATTGTGGCCGGAGTCCCTCAGGGCTTCGTCTCTCTCTGTTACTGTTCTCACTGTATGTCAATGACATTCAACATATACCACAAATACAGATTTTCCTTTACAGTGATGACATAGCCATCTTAGCAAGAGGAATAAACCTAAATCACGAACTCAAAATACTCCAAAAACAGATTAACCTGACGTTAAAGTGGGCAGAACAAAACCAGTTGACTTTCTCAGCAGAAAAGTCGCAGGCAATCTGTTACACCTGTCTCAAATACAAACCCACTAAACACTCAAATACAAAAGCCGATTTGGTTACTAAGGTCTGACGCGATACCACACCAGGCACTTACACGTAGCAGTAAAACGCAATATGCGTGCGAACTGCAACACTATAGTATACTAACCTGGAAGTCTGCCTGCCTTCAGGAGTCTTCGCTCCCCTCTGGTTTGAGCTCCCATGCCTTTTTTTCATCGGGTGAGGAAAACTGTCACCAAACACTTAGTCTTAATTGATGCTCCGATGTGATCGGTCCCGCAGATTCTGCCTCCACATCTAGCATGGAACGTCCAGCTGTGAATCTCCCGCGCTGTCTGTGAGAGGCTTTATTACTGGGCCCTAGTAACGAGAAAGTGCATAAATCTTGTTGCTATATATAAGAAATTACTTCCTCTGACACGTGTAGTAGCCAGAAACCATGTTTTGTGGGTCTTTGATACCGCAAAAACGATTGACAGTTAAACGTCTTTCTGTCTATGCATCTGTCCATTGGTAATTGGTCAAAGATAGCGCCTAAACCGTTCAGCCGATTTTCTCCGAAATTGAATTCCCAAATCAATCTGAACAAACCCAAGGCTTTGGAAGTTTCAAACAGATATACTGATTTTTGAAGGCAATCAAAAGCTTTTTCAAGCAAGCTTTTTCAAAATATTCTTAAAAACAGCATGAAATTTGTTGATCCAACTTTCATCTTCAAATCTCTAAAGAACGCTTAAGAGAATACTGATGGTTTCTGGTTCGTTAAAATCACTGATTTTTTAAAAATTATAAAAGGGGCAATTTTTGGAGCGTGACTTCCTATTGACGGTAGAATTGTTTTTCCTTAATAAAATCTGTTCTTTAAAGACGGATCTTTAAAAAATTCATGTACGGTTTTTTGGAAATATGAGTAGTAGTTTTAATGTAACTTTGCACAAAATATGGGCAATTTCCCCCCCCCCCCAAAACCGCTCTTAATTTTTTCTTTAAACTTTCTCCCCATATGTAACAAGGGACATTAAAAATATGACGCTAGTCCTATTTTCGGCTAAACTTTACTAAAGTTGAGACTATTAACTTTAAGGTAGAGCTGTCCGGAAACAGTGGTCCAAAAAAATTCACTTTTGGTCTTATCAAATGCATAATTTATAGCTCTACAACTTTTGTATGGACAACTTTATTAAGAGATGGGTTAGTTAAGATAGTATTACCAGAAAGAAGAAGTTAAAACTATTTTTTTTTCGTAATATGTAAAATATGTTCAACCATAGCCCACTAGTATGCATACTAGCAGGCTATGGTACACATACAATTATATCTTCAGTGTCCGCTGTATGAATGTTTGAATTTCCAAATCCACATTAATTGTAATTGTTATAATTCAAGTTAGCTTTCACATTTGAATGCAAGCTACAATAGAATACAAGTGTTCTGGTTTGAAATTTGTTTTCTCTTTTACTACTTCTTAAACTTGTGTGTTTTGATTCATAGAAACTGAATCTATAGTAAAATATGTGACTCCTTCTTGAAGTTTGCTTATTACCCTGCTTAAGAGGGAAGGGCAGCGTAATTTAAAAGCATAATTCCCTGAAAATATCAGTCTTGTTATCTTTACAAATTTTCATTTCAGTAATTATTTTGCAAGTGTTTTTTGAATATTCCAGACCTTTCATCTTTATGTAAAATGAATCAAAAGAATTAGATATATTTCAGTATATTATGAAATGTACAAAATAACAAAAAAGGGATAACAACTCCTCATAAAGTTTGTTTTTGTTGTTGCAGGCTGTGTTTTGAGATCCTCATTTTCACTGATACCTAATTCTTTGAGTACTATTTTGTACGTAATTGATTTTGCATGTGTAGAAACGCTCTGTTTTAATACTTTCCCTTATTGTTACCTACGTTGAATATCTACTGTGAGGAATCTATTTAATACCAGAATTTTCAAGAAGTTTGGTTTAAAAAAAAACATTTTATTTGTACTTATTCTCTACTACTTCCTCACTGAACTAGTTTGTTTCACAGGGCCTGGAATAGGAGGAAACTTATTGCCTCTTTCTCAGCCTTCTGCTAATAATCATGGATTAGTGAGCCGCCCCTTCCGACACCGTGTGCTATGGAATCATGATCAGCTGTTACAATTAGAGACTTGGTATCGTGCTGATCGGTATCCTACTGGTCAAGCTATGCGCCAGTATGCAGACACATTGGCAGCCATGTGTCCCACCTCTGCAAGTCCCACTGGTGCCAGTCCTACGAGACAGAATGTGGATTACTGGTTTCAGAACCGCAGAAGAAAAGACAGCCATCCTGAAGTGATGCAACAGAGAGAAAAGAAGAAGTTGGCAAAAACGCTCTGGGGGCAAATTCTGGACCAAAGAGGGCAGGGCACATCATGAGATGTTAGACTTCTTGCCTATGGATTTGTGGTTGACACACATAGTTGCAATTGTGTTATTAATTCATCAGAAATAATGCACTATTTGTAACATTCATTTTTTGAATGTTCTATGTGAATTTTGCATTGATGTTCAATGAAATAATAACTTTGAGTGAAAGTTATCTCATAGATGTATAACCAGCAGGGAAAAACGCACAGAAAACACCCAGTTGCTTTGACTTGTTTTTTTATTTCACAAGTAATACTCAGAAACAGGGTGAAGCAGGCATACATATTCTCTACAGGTCAGCAAAAACTTAGTTGAAAGTGCTAAATCTAAAGAAAGGTAAGAAAAATTGGAAAATAGTTGATGTAGAATTCAAACTTGGTGCTAACATCTTCAGTAATTCTTTACGTGAATTACCACAGTGCAAGCGAATACTTTTGCACTGTGGTGTAATAAATAACACAATCATTGAATTATTAAAATACAAACACAATGAATGTAACAGCAAAAGTGAACAAAAAGTATTATTAAAAACAAACTTTAAAATTATCTTGAAAATCGAATTTAAAATGACACTTTCATTATTTGTGGGTTGAAAATAGAAGAAATTGTGCATGTAAACACTATTGATCTTTCTGTAGTCCATGGTTAACACATTCAGGTCACTGCCTGTAGAATCAATGGGTGCCAACGTGTCACCTTAATTTATGACGCACAGCAAATGTACGGGTGTGCAATTCGTACTGTAGTTTTCCTTTTGCTTGCTATTTATGGAGGTTTCTACATCAATGAAGTACCTAAATATACTCCTAGATTTCGTTTGCTACCATTTAATTGGTGATAAATAGCTTTGGAATACACGAGCATGCCCTCTGCAGTAACACCAAAGGAAAATTGTTCAAAAGTACCGCACCAAAGCCAATTTTTGAGGCTAAAAAGTCATGTTTTCTTCATTACTGCACTTGACACTAATGTAATGTCATGAATAATGATCCAATATTAACATTATTTGTAAGAAGTCAGTTAAAATAAACATGTTAAACTTTTTCTTGGCCTCAACCCTTTTAATTGCTTATATTATATCAATTTAAAAAAAAATCTATTTATGCGTAACATAAAAGTTTGAACTTCCATATAAAAGACGAAAGAATTTGTGACGTCATGGATACTCACAGCCGACCACAGACACAGAGCTTTCGTATAACAAATATATTTATTAACAAGAAAACAAAACAAAGATATCAACTTAATAATTCGAACTTAAACCCAGCTCTGATAGACTACTATCGCTGATCGACTCAGGGAGCGATCCAAAAACCCGATGAAGAGGTTTTGATTGTGAGCATTCAGCCACTCCTACCTTATAAGCGCGCACAAAGCCTAGCTTCCGTGACGCGGGATGTCACGCTGGACACAAAGTCCGTTTCTGGCGCCACAACGGCTGGTTTCCTCCGATCGCCAGGAGCCGATCTTATCCGATTGGTAGAAGGGGGTCGGCGTGAATCGTGGTCAAAACTCAACCCACTCTTCACCTCGGAGCACGCACACAGCATCGCTCACCCCGTGACCGCGAGTCACCCAAGGACATAAAGTCCGCGAGGACTTCGTTCTAAACTAATGACCTCCCAGCCTCGCGAAGCCTCGGCTACGAACATATGACACCCGCTCAGGTTATACGTGACGCAATTGGAGTTGGGGGTAACACACGCACTGACGAGTCTCACACAAGCCGACTCTACTCTAGTGAAAACCGTGTGCCGGTGACTTGATCCCTGCCTCCAACCAGCTCTGTAATACCATCTACCAGGCGCCAGGCCCACGGATGACTCCATGCTACAGTACGTCACCGCGCCACCACCCGACCGCGGAAATACGCTGTGTATCATAATAACCAGCGATGAAATAAAAGCTTGCGATAAGCCCGGAAAGAACAAACCAAAGCCCTGGTGTGTCCCCAGCTCTCCGCGTTCTTCCCTTTTACGGAAAAAACGGCCTACTTCCTGTGGCCGAGACTAATCCCCCGCAAACCAGCGATCCCAAATAGATGCCAGGAGGGTCACGCCTGGCTAATACCGTTACAATATTTTGCCTTTAAAGATATTATAAAAAAAATCTTGCTCCTATAATTTCGTTTAGAAGATATGACCCTTTAAATATACCCCAAAAATTTTCCAATAAGTGTTGGAAAAAAGTTGGACAAAGGCTATGAGCTGAATGTGTTAATAAATAGATTACAAGCGTCTTGCTTCTGTAGTCATCTCCACGATGAGGTCACAAGCCAAATACAAAATCCAGGGTGGCCACTTTCTGGAGAACTGGGAAGTCTTGGAATTTCATTTATATTGTAATTCAAGGAATTTTTACAGAAATCAGTAAAAATAAAGGACATTTTTGAGGCAAATATAAAATTTAGATATTCTTCAAATAACATTGGTACATCGTGTCAGGCACAATTTTTACTTGTTTAGCAAATATTGTTTTTTTTTTTGTTTTTTTTTTGTTTTGTTTTGTTTTTTTTTGTTTTCTTTTCTTTTGCAAGGAAATCAGAGTGCTGACAAAAATATTTTAAAAAAGGATTTATTATGTCTTCATTGATGCAACACGTCTCTAAACCCTTGTTAGGCATTGAGTGCATAGTGTCTCCTTTCATTGCAGTCAGTTAGTGCCTTTTAACCCATCGGCCAGAGGTTTAGCACCATTGGAAACTGGGGTTTCTGGACAGTCGCCTGCTTAGGAATTCACAGTGTCTTGATTTGCGTAACTTTCGGAACTTCACAGTGCATAGTTAAGCAATTTAGCCAATGATGCAGAGAATAGATATTCTAAATATTTATTAAGTGACCAATAGAGGAGAAGTACAATATGTGCAAGTTTTCTTAAGCTCTGGAATCCTTACCCCCCCCCCTTTTTTTTAACTGTACTTTCTTGAAATATGAATAAAAGTTAGCCGTGAGTGTTTTTGGTACATTTGATAATAAGAAATGTTCACTCATATGTAATAGAAACCATTTGTATTAGCAAACACATTTCATTTGTCAGAACTGTTGACAAAATGACTAAATCACAGCTAACAAAAACAGCTCAGGAAAATGTGTGTGCTTACAGTAAAGCTACATTTTCTACCCAGAAGCAAAGCAAAGGGCATTTCTGCATTTGCACTTTGAATCGAGGAAAGCTGCATGAAAACCTGATTGAAAGGGTGTATTGAATCCTCATGACTATCTGAGTGCATTAGTGCATAAGAATCTGAAATACATAGAGAAAGGGTGAATAGGAGGTCAGCCCTTTTCAACCAATTCTATTTTTAATTTACGTTTTCTAAAAACAGTCAAGTATTTTATCAGAGAAAAAGAAAAACTGTCCCGGAAACCCAAAAAATTTGTCCCTAAGAAAGTAGCCACCTTGAAAAACATGATCTATTGTTAAGAGCATTTTTAATTTTAGCATAGAAATGTACATAAAATTTTAATTCTTTGATCTATCTTTTAATTTAATATTATATTTGAAATGCCTGTTAACTTGTCTAACAATGACTATGGTGGATACCTTTCCCCCCATTTTTGATGTGCTACACTTCATTTGTATATTTCTACCAAGGAATATTCCCTTGTTAGTTTTAGAACAACTTGCAAACTATTCTAGATTTTTAAAAACAAATACGGATTTATTTTACAAATCATTTTACATTGAACAGTATACATTGATGTGTTATATCTGTTTCAGATTGCAAGCTGTGTTCAGTTGTCAGTGAGAAGGAATAATATAGTATGATTCATTTGTGTAATTTAATATTGTTGTTGTCCTTATGAAATATTGTTCGGTATTGCTTTGTTCAATAAATTTGGTGCTACATTCATACATTGTTATAAACATAATGTTATAAGGGCATCTACAATGTTCTCTAATTGTGTAAAATATAATAAGAGGTAGAAGTTGAAAGTGACTTGATGAGCACATTTTTGAAGGTTTGTTAGAGTAAGAAGGTAAATGGAAAATTAATATTGTTTTTTTACTTAGTATGTCTGCTACAACTTGTATGAGAAAGTCTGCACTATGTTGTTGACCATTTGATTTAAAATTAACTAAATGAAAGTAAAAGAGGAGATTGACATAAGAATAGTAACAGTTTGATTTTACATTCTGTTACATTTATTGTTAATATTTTGTAGCTGTAAATAATTTCAGAATTGATGTGATCTAAACAGATTTTGCGTATTGTCTATAGTGAATGTGCCAATGCATTTATGTGTAAATTGGAATATATCTATATTGATTTTCAGTAAATTTACAGTATTTATTAATCCTTCTCCAGATAGAAAAGTGTATTAATCATTAAGTTTCCATATATGAGTGCAATACAAGATGCTTAAACGAATAAAAGTTGATCCTTGTTTTGATAACTTGAAATTTGTTTTTAACAAATAAAATAAAAAAGAAAATCTTATCTATATTCTTGACATATTATGTACATGACAGTATTAGTACTTATTTATTCTACATTAATCAATTTTTCAGTCAGTACCTTGTCTTTTTTGAATCATCATTATCAACAATATTATTTCTGAAGTATAGATCCCTTTTGTAGTACTTGAATCCAACCATTCTTGAAAGAAAAAGGATTTCATAGAGATTTGTTGAAATGGTTTGAACCAGGTAAGAGCATAGTCAATCTGCAACATACTAATTTTGTTCTAAACATAGTTTGTGCGTAACTAAAAAAGGGTGCATCATAGGACTTAGTTTTGAAGTTCAAAGCCTCAAGATATAGTCCTCCAACTTTAACGTATATGAGAGAGGTGATGAATTCATTTTAACATCAATTACCCTTCAGGGGTTCAGCTCTTTAGAGGCATAAAGAATCTCTTCATGCATGAGAAAGATTATCCCTGGTTTTAGAGTACATTATTTGTGGCAGGGATATCCTATAGCTAATCTTTATTTTAGTTTAATAAGGTGATTGTTAAAGGAGAAATTGTAATTATAGAAAAACTCATCTTTTCCAAACCGAATAGGGATCAGGCCTATTGAGATATGCATAAATTTGAATGATCAGATAAACCTCGGAAATAAATTAAGTAAGCCATAAGTAACAGAAAAAAAATGATTTGGATTAATGAAATTGAAGTTAAGCAATCATAAGGTGCAGAAAGCTGTAAATTGCATAAAGATAACACAAATTTCACGAAATATCAAGAGGAAAAAAAATAACACTTCTGCCAAACATTTCTTATAAAGGATTGGGTGGCTGAGCCAATTACAGTGAAGCATTTGGGCCGTACATAACAATATTTCAAAATTCTTTGGAAGATTTTCTCACTTACTTATTACAATGCCTTGATTTTCAAAAAGTTAAAAAGAGAGCACATGCAAATTAGCTTCTACATAATGCTGAGGAGGGGTGGGGGTGGGGGGATGGTTTGAGGCAGGGTTGCACTGCATTGCGGAGTAAGGAGTTCAGTGTTATATGACGGTATTTATTTTTCAAATCTTTCAATATATCATAATTCATTTTATTGTTTTATACTAAAACATTACCATATTAACAAATTAAATTTAAAATATCATAAATTAAAGAAGTTGTATTCTATAAATTATTACGATAAATGAAAATATTTTTCATAAATGATGTATTGATTCAATCTTTTAGATTATGAAGAAAATATTCAAAACTGATCTATAGTATATTCTAAAATCCAGTTAGTTGGCGCAGTAGACTTGGAACCTATGCGTCATCCATGACAGCATGTACATGGCTTGTCAGAAATTTTCTCACCTACGCATACTTATTTCATTAAAAAATTGCCCCCAAATTTATTGTTATGTGTAGTCTGCTCCACCAATTCTCATGTTAATTATATGAGAATTTTAATGAATGTATAACACAAATATAATTAATACAACTTATTTCTGATTTATAATTGAGTTTTACTTATTGGAATTGGGAGGGGGTTGCTGCAAGTGTTACATAGTTATTAGAAGGGGGTTCAATGGCATTACAAGGGGTGAGAGGGTATTAAAAATATTACAAATTTGCGTTACATAATTTATGGATGGCCCCTAAAAATTTCTTAGGGCTTCTTTCCTGAACTGCCTGTGCCAAACCTTAACTTTTAGGATCATCTGTACCATGATCTTGCTCTCTAAACATAACATTACATTACAACTGAAAATAAAGGGTTAAAAAAGAGAAGTGTGATCATACTCTGGGTATGTTGGACAAGCGAAAAGAAGCTTTAATTGGCTTCTCTAGGCAATGGAGGAATTGTAGAATAAAATTACTGTAAAATATGAGTAAAGCCCTGTGTGAAACAATGGAAGGGAATTATCTAGCTGATAAAATTTGTTTCCTATCGATGACTCCAATATATTTTCCTAGTAGGGAAAATAATGCAGCCTCATACTTATAGCCACTAAAACTTGGTGAGGTAATCATCACTACGTTTACTTATAATAGTTTTCGATGAACATTGGTTGAAAATATAGCAAAAATTGCTTTAATAGTATCAATAATAAACAGAGTTCACCCAATTAGTTATATTGAAAAACAATTAAAATTGCATTTTTTAATTTGAAAAATTATACTGTTTATCTAAATGTCCTTTGCAACCTATCTTTACCTTAACTGATGAAATGTATTTATTTTGATGTCAGTGTTGGGAGGAGATTGGTTGATACCCTCTCCCCTCAACATGGAGATTGATTTGTACTTAGGAACAATTTCAATTTTTATTTCAAATCTAATAAAAGTTTCCAGTGTAAATAGAAAATTCTACAGGAGGCATTGCTTGTGCCCAGAGCTAAAAGATCCTTCTTTATAAAACTGATTCAATCATTTAATAATCGACTTTACACATTCGATATATACATCATCATGATATATACAGTGAAATGAAAGTCAAAACAAAAAACAATTAATGATAAGAAAAGATACTGGTCTGTTACTGAACAAAAGGATCCACCATATTATTATCCAAATTTATCAAAAACGTTCTCAGTAATTGTTATTTTTTTTATCTTTTTTACATTTGATGTTTTAAATATATGAGATAACAGTAAACGCTTTAACTCCCACTATATTATGTTCTTCCAATTTAATTCTGTGTTGACTTTGGGGAATAAGAATTTTGATATTCTCTTTGTGTTCCTGGTACATAAATATTGATATTGAAGCCATACACAATTATAAACAATAATTTTTCATTCAAGTAACGTTTTATATAATATCTCGTATTCTTTTCTCTATATAAAGACATTATTGGGTGTAAAAATGCTTTTTATACATAATTTTGATAAGATTTTTTTTGTATTATGTTCAGCGAACAATAATCTCCGCCCCAAGCTAATATACCAGAAGTTGCAGCTGTCCAGAATAAAGCATCAATATTTGTGTAGTTTCAAGAATCAATCTCACTTAACTGAAAATATAAATAAGATACCTACTCTTCTGTGTCAGTTGTAAAACATGGTATTTCCATTTCAAATTTCGGTCAACATGCACTCCTAAATATTTGAAAACTCTCAATATAACTCAATATAACTCTCAATATAATTGGATAATTACCGTCTGAATTATGACAACTAGATATGTGAAGCTTCACAACACATTTCTCTAATATGCCATCCAGATAAATACCAAATGTTATAAATACAATCTTTTGTATATTTAAGCTTAGAAAATTATGACTTGTCCCTTTCTTATCAAAGATAACTTTACCTCAGATTAATTTATATCATTGTCTGATGGTTAACCCGTAATAATTATACTTGTGTTGTCAGCAGAAGGTATCAAATCATCTTGAGGAAAATTTTTAGAAATGTCATTTATATATAATGTAAATAAAAGTGGTCTCAGAATTGTACCTTTGGGCACATCACATTTCATTGTCAATTCCTCCATTTATACTCGCATATTGCATTCTATTTGATAAATAGCTTTTGATTAATTTGTAAACAATCACTCTGAACCCATAAGATAACAGCTTTCTTAATAAGATTTCATGATTTATTGTCAAAAGCTTTTGCTAAGCCTAAGATAATGGAAATACAGGGGATATTTTTATCTATTAATTCGCTAGTTTCACCTGTAATATAAACAATAGCATTTGTAGTACTTTCCCCTTCTTGAAACCCAAAATGATAAGCGTTAATAATGTTATATTGACTATAAAACTGAAATCCGATTTTCAATAGTTTTCCAAAATTTGAGATCAATGAGATCAGTCTATTATTTCACAGCATTATCCTCTTCCCCCCTTTTTTGCACAGGTACCACTTTGTCTTTTGTTTTAAATGATGAAGAAAATTTCCTGTTTCTATAATTAAATTAAACATGTAAGTTGGTTGTTTAGATGTATATTTTGTAAATCATTTAATTACTCTTGCAGGAATATCATCTATACCAGCTTATTTCTTATTATTTGGTGTCAATAATCTTTTTAATTTCATGTTCATTAGAAGGAAACAGAAATAAAAAAAATCTACAATTACATCATTTTCATATTGAGCATTATTAAGGGTATCAATCTCCATTTCATGTGCCATTTTTGGCCCCTTTTCCCAAACTAATATAAATTCCCATAGAGATTTAACATTCCCATTGCATGTCAATAACAAATCATTATATTTTTCTTTAGCTTTGTTTAAATAATGCATGTTATTTTATGTTTTGTATTTTCCTCTTAATTTCATTAATGTATCGATTGAATTTTTAATTTTCATCTTTTTTAAGCTCAAAATAATTGCAGAGAAAAACATTTTTAATTTTTTTAAGGAACTTTTCTATCTTGCAGTTGCATTTAGATACCTTAATAGTGATTTTAAAACATTAAATATCACTCTACTAATATATTTTGAGAAATATTAGAATTCACTTTCTTTTATTAGCTTAGTTACTCATTAGTAAAAGATAATGCCGTTTCTTCATGAGCCATTCAAAAATGAATTTGGCTTTTATATCTGGGCAATCCCAATCAATGTTGTAGTAGAATTCATACATCTATTTTAAACAACTTGTACTACAGAATACAAATCTTCAATTTGTGGCTGATATATCAAAAATTTTGTCAAGCATTAAATAACAGAATTAACATTTGCTTGGTAGCTCAGTAATTATCTCACAAATTAGTTTCTCTTGTTCTGAAATTAGTGATTGAATTGATGGCAAAAGCACCATATTTGTGGTTATAGAATAAAATGAAACCATTAGGTTAAGAAGATCCTTCAAAACGTTTTATTTTCAAAAAGAAGGGGGGAGGTGTTAACACAATATTTTATACCTCTAAATAGTAAGAAATGTATAAAAGATATCAACAGTTTTTATTAGTAAACTTACAAAACACAGTTGTATTCTAAATAATGTAAAGAATATGAAAATACATCAAAAAATTCCATATGAGTACTTATGTTGCATTTTCATCTTAAACAAAGAGGAAATGTAGAACATTCTTACAATATTTTTCCAGCAAAAATAAAAATATAAAGTATTATAGATAGGTCTAACAAGTTTCAGAATGCATCCCAACACATTTGTCAATTCAAAAAAAAGAAATGCCGGTAACACTTTACTCTATTTTTGTATCAGAAATTGTAAGAAAGTTTCCATTTTTCATATAAGTCATGTGGTGTACGTTTCTCATTAAAACTGTACTCTTGATAAATCGTCTGCAATCAAATATAAAATATCACAAATCAATAGTGAATAGAATGTTTTCTCTAAAATGAAAATTTATTAAAAAACATACCTTAAAGTCCAATCCAAATTTCTCGATACCTTGAACCAGATGCATCTCCTCTTCTTCTGAGAAGGCAGGCTTTGATGGAGAATTTGTTTGTTCAGTTCCTCCTATTTCTTCTGTAGGTTTGTCATTTTCCTTCTGATTTATTGCCCCATCATTAATTGAGTATTGGCTCTTGTGTTTGGTTTCTCTATCTTTTTCTCCTTCATCCTTAAAACTAACCATGGATTGCATGCTGCGGACTGGGTCTGTAGGCTTTTTGAGACAAGATTTGTGAGGTGAGTTTGGTGGAGACATGGTTTTTTGTTGGGTATCTTTTATGCTGAGGAGCATTGGCATTACTGGGCTCTCAGTTTCGATTCCTCCACTAAGGCTATTCAATATCTTCTTGCCATCTGTGCTTGGTGGAGAACTCTTCTCATTTGGGCTGCATCTGACAAGATCCATGTCTTTTAACATAGATTGAATGTCAATGTCATTTAGTCTTCCCACACTCTTGCTTCTCTTCAGAGCTTCTAATGACTTGGGGCCCCTGGATCGCTTTGAATCATCTTTCCAAGTTTCTCTGATTATAGCCTCATCATCTTTTGTCAATATGTCTGTTAATCTCCTTCCATGCATTTGTCCAATTTCACTCTCGCTGCCAGTGATTTCTCTTTCGTGAGGAAACCTGGCTCTCCCCATTAGAAACTCAGTATCCTTATCACTATCTTCCCGTGGGTATCTTTCCAAAGGTCTCCTATGGAATCGATTTTTCATGTCTTCTTTGGTGTTGTAATAATCTCTGATAGATCCCATCAATTTCTTTCCAGGATCTCTGTTTCGATCATCTAAATAGTCTTCGTTAAATCTTCCTGATGGGCTTTTTGGGTAATCTTTCCTTGGTTTATCGATTCTGCTTCGTCTAGCTGCTGAGTCCACTACAGATTCTTTTTTTTCTTCAATATCTGTATCATAGTAATCTCTAACAAATCTCTCTATTGATGACCTATGCCATTCCTTTCTGAAATCATCTTTCCTAAAATCGTTCCCTAGGCTTTCCTTCACTGCTCTCCTGCCATAGTTCTCTCTCAAATCATTGTCTGAATCAAAGTAGTCTTTTTGGGTCATTGGACTTCCAGTTCTCAACTTTTCTGCTCCTGTTTCATCATGTCTTGCAAAATTTTCTCTTTTGGTAAAATAGTGTCTTCTTTGGTGCACATCAATCTCCTCAAGTTCTGTCATTTTATTCCGAGGATATAAGCGGCGAGCTCTGTTTATCAAGTCTGAAGAACTGTCTTTTGTGTGTAAGAATGGTCTGCTCTGGGTATTTTCATTTTTGAGAAAATATCCATCACTATAAGATGAGTATGTATCTTTTTTGTTATAGTCACTTGGTGAATTGCTTCGTCTAGACTTATCAAAAGGTTTGTGAAATCTATTAAGCATAAGATCAGAATCATCACTTCTACGGTAATAAACTTCACCTCTTTCGTAATGGTTATTTTTCCTGTCATATTGCCGTTTAATGAACTTTTCATCTAACAAATTATCATTTCGATTGTGGGCTCTTTTATAGTAGCTTGGTAGTACATGTGAATATTCATTATGATTTCTAAATCTGTCTTGTTCAAAATCATAATCAGAGAACTTTTTGTGATGAATCACTGATTTGCTATTGAATTTTTTTTCAGAAGTCAAATCAAATTCTTCATTATTTGGGTGCTTTTCCAGTTTCTTCTGAAAGTGTCTGGATAATGAATGTCTATTTTTTTCTTCCAGCACCGAGCTGTTGGATGATCCAGACAGATCCAAATCGCTGTAAGATTTCTGTTTATCTCTCATGTAGCTGACAATTTTGTCTATAATTTTCCAACACTCTGAACTTTCCCCAAAGGTCTTCATTTCAGAGACAAGATAAGAACAAATGTCAAACTGCTGAAATATTTGCTCATTTTCTTCACAGCTGAGCAAATTTGCAAGACAAAATATGACCACTCTTTTGTCCTGCATAAAATAACATAAAAACTGTTAAATTAATGCCAAAAAGGGTTGACAGTAACATAAGAAGTAATACATTACCTTTTTACTAAATTGTTTCATCAATTGAACCAACATTGGAATTACACCAAGGAATCCCGCTAATTTACTTATTTGTACATTTTCTTTTACTGAAGTGGAGAGCAAATAAACAAGTTTAATATAAATTTCTGTAAAATCGCAGTCAGCACTTTTTCTTTCTTCCAAATTTGCAAGACCACTAGAATATATAATGCACTTAATGAAATTTTTAAAAAAATTAATAAATTAAAAAAATATATATAAAAAAGTATAAATGTGAAGAGCAAATTAACAAAATACACTCACTTCACAATGGCATGAACACCACCTGATCTTGCGAAGAAGTCTTGATTTGCCCTATTGCTATGTAAAACATAGGGCAACATAATCAACAAGTTCTTGGCACAATTTACATCTTTCAATGTAATTCTTGGTTTATCTACCCACTCATTCAGAAAATTGGCTCCCTACAAAATAGCAGAGAATGGCATTGTGATTACACTTTCTTACATGTAAAAAAAGTTAATACGGAAATTAATTTTTTTTCAATAAAAGTGAATAAATTGAAAAAAACTGGAAAGGTTAAAATATAAAATTGTATAAAAGTATGATGAAAGTATGTATAAAAGTAATGCAATCATAGCGTTCATAACTCTTGCTGAATTCAGAAAACTTTATTCCTGCATTCTTAACTTTTCTGATCAATGTGTAATCTTCAAATTTTCACAACCTTTATAGTTTTTCTCAATTTACGTATTTTTATTGGGCGGGGAATCCGTATTAACGACTTTTACATGTAAGAAAACAACACTAGGAATGGAAATAAGAGAGCAGTTATCAAACTATTTCACTTGGTAAGCAATATTAACAAGAATTATTCAGACCTCACGAACAATAGATCGAAGGGTGTCTTGGTTCTTCTGATTGGCTGGCTCCCCACATACAGCAGCAATTGCAGTACACAAAATGTTCCATGTGAAAACAAGTTTCTCATCTTTGACCTACAAGAAAATGTGTAGGAATTCATTTTAAAATCTTATCGTATTGTCATATTCAATTAATAATATAACTCAATTAAAAGGAATATCAACTCACATCAGATGAACCTAGAATATCTAGTGAGAATCTCAGAAATAATTTTTCCATTTCCTTCACACATCCAGACATGTTTGCCAGTTCTTGTGCGTGGGCATTTTCAGCACAGACATAACAAAGGAGAACTAAAGGACGTAAACTGGCCATTAATCCAAGTGAATCAATGGATATTAATACTTTATTTATAAGTACAAATGTACGTTCATGAGTCATTTGTATTCTGTTGCCCTCCTGAAACAAAACAACAAATATTAATACTCAGTTAATAAAAAAAAACTGCTTTTGAATAATAATGATTTACTGTTGTATATTAAAAATGTTCATTGTTTCTCTGGTGCTCAAAAACTTTTATTTTGTTAAATATTACAATATTTTCAACAAACTATCAATGATTTAATAACACTAGCCATGAAGGGTGAAGATGAGCAAAATGAAAAGTCACCTTTCACTTCATGACCATCCATTTTTAGTCCAAATGATTCCAGCCCTTGGTAGCATATTGCTCAGACATTCACTCTTTGAGCTAGGAACCAATGTAATTTTGGTTGCAACTTCAACTGAAATTTCAGAGCTGATTTAATTATTCAACCTGATGCTAAAATTAGGATATAAACTGAAAGCAAATGAAATGCTGACCACTTATGTTGGTCAACGCTCTTGTAGGCCTTAGCCAATTTTACATCACATAAAATTATGAATCCCTTGATATGCTCATGTAAGCTCTAACCAATGTCAAGTCACATGAAACTATAATACTCTTGAATATTATAGAAATGAGGAATCAAGATATAAGGGAAAACATTAATTCATGGCAGTCAAAATGTACATTTTGATTCAAATATACATGAAACTTCTAAAAAATCTATTTTGTTAAAATTAAATATGATTATATTTTCACATAAAGACATTCTCATTTAATGTAAAACCTAAAGCTCTGAAATAATCTCACTTTCATGTGCATTTAAATTCAGTTTCATTAACATTGTTTTCATGTTAAGTGTAATGAGTTTTAATATTAATTTTTACTTACATGATCTTCAGCAGCAGCTGCTAATGTATCAAAAACAGTATTAAGTACAGAAAAATTTGCACTCATTGCAACATTTATAACAACAGATACACCATTTACTTCATGGAAATGTTCCTTCATCTTTATATCATTTTTCAAAAGTTCTGTCATAGATTTTAGAATGTCTTGAGCCTCATCACTTTCTGATTGTTCAAAAGATTGAAGCAATTCTTTCATGTCAGATACACCTGGAAAAATTACGCGATTAATACAAGCGTTTTTTCAAAATATTTTTCATATATAGCACAGGCATTGCATATTAATAATTACCTCTGTCTTCGGCCATTCTATTAATAATTCAATTATTGAAAAACTGAAAAAAGTATGAGAGGCCACACCTCAATATTACAAGACAGAAAGAAGTTCTCTAGCAAATTATTCTGCCGTTATCTGCCTCGTTCCCAGCAAACGACCGATTCGTAAGGAGTTTTGAAATTTGTGCACGTATTCCATTGAAAAAAGTTTGTCATTACGGTTGCAAAATGCTCATTTTTATGTCAATTTATAATTGCTTTATGAACTATTCTAAATTAAATGTGTTTAATTTCTAAAATAAATGTATAAATTTAATCGCTTTTGTTTTTCATTTCATAGTGGAAAAAGTTTTAAATTCACGTTCGTATTGTGGCAACGTGATAAGTAATCAATTAACGATATTTCCTGAGAAATTCAAATTGATTTTTTCGATAAGAATAATATTAATAAATAACATAAATATTTTTTTATCGTTGATTAATATAATAAGATAAATCAGTTCATTTTGGATAAACTGGCGAAGATTTATATGTAAAATAATTGCACTTCGTTGTTACTTCACGGCTTTCCGAGCAAACGACCAACCTGTACAAAGTTTTGAAATATGTCCAGTCATTCAATCGAAAGAAAGTTGTCATTACGAAGAATAAATCTCATTTTGATGTCAAATTATAATTGTTTAATCAACTATTCAGAATTAAATTTGGCATTTAATTCCTAAAATAAATGCATTTATTTAATCGCTTTTGTTTGTTTTTTTTATTTTATTGTATAAAAAAAAATTAAATTCACATTCATATTGTGGCAACGTGAATAGTAAAAGGCAACATAAGGATCTTCTCAGAATTGTGTGACGAATGGTTTTTAACCGTTAGATTGCATTTCACACACTTATCTTACTAATCGCTCACACTAGTAATGAACATACAGTGCAGTAATAATGGTGTTCTTTATTTTTTCTGCGGTAGTGCCATTCTTTCGTGTGTGCGTGCACGTGCTGGCATTTTCTACAATTGAATGCACATTTTGTAAAGTAACTATAGTTAGTATATGTATGTGCTACTAAAGGCTCAGAATAACTCGTACAGTTTATAATAGTTAGGTGAAAAGATAATTAATGGTGCTGTAAATTGTATAGGGTCTACCTCTAAAATTTCAGCTATTTATTTACGTTGTGTGACGTGCTACGAGGAGAAGTTAATTTCAAGTTCAATTTATGTTCAAAAAGCAAAACAAGGGGTCATCTCAGCATTTTCAGCTATCGAGCGCATTAAGTCGTGGTCGGGCGCCAAAAATAGAATATTATGCAATTAGTTTATAATGTTATACTTTTACATAAGTATATGGTTTGAAAACGAGCGACTTAAAAACGAATTTTTAAATTTGAACGAATGCAATAAATCCACGTACAGAATGGCACAGACTTTCCCATATTAGTTTCCTATTTCCTTTGTTCTACTAGCAACTCGGACTTGCCACATACTCTTCCCAGCTACCATCTATCGCCGCCCAAAGTACATTTTTTTGACATTTTCTTAATTCGGTTTCCAAATAGTAGAACTGAAATATTTCAAGAATATTAAAGAAAAGTATAACCACGTCCTAAATAGCAATTTCTATGAAAAATTTGGAGCCGTATTTAAGAGTTGGCGCTACTGTAAGTTCGAAAGTTAAAGTTCTTTTGCATAGACAATTATTGAGTTTTCGAAAAATACAAATGTTTACAATTTGCTAGAAGTGTGCATATCAACGGCGTGGGAGATCTTTAAAAAAATTTATATTTGTGTAATTTTTTGAAAAAAATCTGAAATGGACTTTATGTCATATTAAAGAGTGCCATTAGCACTATTCGTTCGAAATGTTTTTTGAGAAAAAAGCGTTTGAGCTTTTTTGTAAATACGGAATTTTGAGTTACTTAGCATAGAAAACGATTAAGTGTTCGAGAAACCTTATCTGCCATTATTTAAAGCACATGTACTAATAAATACAATAATGTGAACAAATTGTCGCTAATACAAATATTAATAACATGTAAAAGATGTAGATTTATTCAGTAAAAAGAAAAAAAAAACAGTAGAAACTGTATGTGACATAGGGGGGAAAAGATTATCTGCGCACGTTTTCTAGAGTTCCAGAATCCCTTCCCGTCGTTTTAACTATAAATAGTTGAAAGATAAGTAAAAGTTTAACATAAATAAATAAAAATAAATTTTAAAAATTGCAAGATTAACAATATTTGAAAATTAGTCATTTTCCTGTCTGAGTTATAGAAAACGTATTTGAATCGGTATTACTCGCGCAACTTTACTTGAAAGATGACCTTGCTTCCCCCCTCTATGGTTCAATAAACAGATGAAGGTGAAAGCTCGCAGCGAGCACTGATGGCAACATTCCAAACACATCTTCACTGGCGCAAAATTGAAACAATTTTCTTTGAAAAACGAGAACATCTATCCGAAGCAGGTAAAGATCTATCACAGGAGATACCTCTAATTCCTTAAAAAGTTAGAACGCAAATTATTGAGAACGTTGCGAAGGGATGACCATCTCCAGAGATTGGCCATTGCTTCATAAAAGTTAGATTCCGTAACTAATACCCCCACTCTACCCGCATTTCTTCAATCCATCGTTCAAGAAAAGTTGCGCGAGTAATACACGAATTGTAAGTATGATTTTTCTGCATTGCTAACAAAATAGCAACTAGCCCTTACCTCTACTCTTACCATTCCAAGCAAAAGGAGAGTTCAACAAAAATTGCACAGAGTGAAGCTACGTTTACGTCCAGAAGCAAAACAAGGGGCCATCTCAGCATTTGCTCAATGGATCAGGGAAACTGGACAAAAACCTGATCGAGACCTGGGTCATTTACCCGGAAGCTGAAGTACATTATTTGTTACAAACATATTAAGTCCTTATAAAGTATACAATACAAATGTACACTAATTCATTATATATCACTGTTTTGTTGAAATTAATATTATTTTCCTTTTTGATAATCAGTAGAGTTTCTAATTGTATAGAAACAGTTATGCAGCAGAAAAGATTTTACTTTTAGCTTAAATTTATGAATCAACTTTAATAGTTTGATGTCATCTGGCAGTGCGTTGTAAAGTAACGTCTCTCTCTCTCTCTCTCTCTCTCTCTCTCTCTCTCTCTCTCTCTCTCTCTCTCTATATATATATATATATATATATATATATATATATATATATATATATATATATATTGTATGTGTACTTTTGATAGTGATCCGTTGATACTGATACTTGAACGTGATTTTTACGACGTGTGTTGTAATTATAATTGTCACTATTTCATGAAAATATGTTTCCACCGTTAAGTACTTCACATTTGACAAATATTGCAGATTCGTAAATATATAGGCAAGGCAGTGGTAAGATTCCAAGCGATGGCAGTTTTTCATTATTCCAATAATTTTCTTTTGCATTCTAAAGGTCTGAATACTACATAATGAGTTTCCCCAGAATTTTATACCATAACTCAGGCGGGAATGTACATTTGCAAAATACACGCAACGAGCTGCATGAAGGCTGACAGAATTTGATAGAATTCTGAATGCGTAACATAATGAACTTAATTTAGTGTTTAATTTTGCTATATGTACATTCCATTTGAGGTTTGACTGAATTGACGGACCTAGAAATTTTGTTACCTGAACATCACCTAATTGCATATTATTCATTTTCAATGGACCATACGATTGCTGGCTTGAAAGGCAAAAATGCATTGAAACTGTTTATTCTTCATTAACTATTAATTTGTTATTACAAAACGAATTTGAAACTTCTAATATCGTACTATTTATTGTTTCTTTTTTGCAAAGAACATTCGTGTCATTGACAAACAGAACCGTTCTTCCGTTTTGAATAGACGACGCCATATCGTTTACGTATAACAGAAAGAAGATAGGACCTAAGATCGAGCCTTGCGGAACCCCATATTCAATTGGTAAAGAATTGGAAAGATAAGTAAATAATGTCCTTTCGTGTCAGAATTTCTACTCTTTGATCGATGTTTAAGGTACGAAGACATTCAATCTAGGACGATATCACGAATTCCATAAGAAGGTAATTGTGATAGCAAGATGTTATGGTAAATAACGTCAAAAGCTTTTGAAAGATCTAATAATATTCCAATGGGCGCTTCATTTCAATTACGTTTTTGTAATTTTTGAAAGAAACAAAAGAACAGAGCAATATGGCATTTTATTATAAGGTACATTTAGCACTAACCCTACAAAAAGTTAAAAGATAAAATTTGAAGCCTTTTAGAGAAAATCTTGTTTTGTAATTTTTTTAAATTGCACATATTGCATGCAATATTCCGTGAAAGCGTGCAATCCCTTTCTATTATTCCGAATAGCTATCCGAGACCAAAGAAAAAACAACTAATACGGGAAAGTATGTGCCATTCTGTTGTACCACTAGTTATGATTAAACATTGTTTTCTGATAGAGTATTGGACGTTTAAGTCAATAATGGCGCAGGTCTCTTGTTTGCTGAAATCCCTCATTTTTCGAAAATTCCATTAGATAGTGAAGGGATAGAAAAGGGACGCTTAAAAGAATGTCGCGAGTTTCATTTTCTTTGCACTCTCTGAATTTTCGAAATTCGCCAAGTTAGAATTAATACCAGGCTAAACCATTAAGCTGATTTTCTCCAAAATTGATATTCTCCAAAATTGATATTCTCCAAAATTGATATTCTCCAAATCGATCTGGTTGATGTCATTGCCCCTTGATTTTGAAACCGAAGTGAACTGAATTGAATTAATGCCTTATTTTACGTGGCGAGACTGGGGCCATCAGGTCCGCTCTTCCGTCTGACTACGCAAATTTCGCTGCTCTTCTGCTGGCGAACGTCCCTCCTATTGACCTGCTTGCTCTAGAAAGGAAAGAAGTTTACGACTACTCCAATGAGCAAGAAGGCAACGGAAGGCGAACGCACCAAGATACGAATTGCGCAATTAAAAAAGCTAAAGAAAACGTGATGCACCGCTGGCAGAAACGCTGGGACAGAGAGGAGACCGGCAGATGAACTCATAGGCTCATCCCAAACGTATCCAAATGGATAAGCCGCAAACACGAGTCCGTGACATACCACTTAACTCAGGCATTCACAGGGCATGTATGTTTTATGGCATACCTTAAAAGATTCAGAAAGACAGAAGACGCGGTATGCTTCTACTGCAGCCATGAAGTGAACATACGCTGATGCATTGCCCGAGATGGGACA